AATTAAAAGGATGGTTTAACTTTTTATGACACATCTTTGTAAGTGCATTTGGGTCACCTGATAAATTAAGAACACTAACTAAATAAAAAGTTGAAATCAGAATTGGACATCTGTGTGTAGGCTTGGATGGGTACATAGGAAAACATTCTTACTTAAAACATTTAACATAATACTGTGTAAAACATCATGTCATTGAAATTTTTCTGAGAAGCATGCACTTTTTTGGTAATGCTGAAATTTTTAACTTTCAAAAAATTTTTAAATTTTTAAGTTTAAAGTTCAATGATATGAAGATAAAAATTATGTTACAATCACTTGTGCATGCACGGTAGTAACTAAAGTTGCATTTAGTCTTTCTCCTAAATGCTGCAGCCTTAAAAAATAATGGTATCTTAATTCAGTTTTGAAAGGCACAAAAAAGACCAAGTTATCGAGCTTGAAATAACATATTTCAAAATCTCTTAGATAATCCTATGGCAATACTTAGTGAATCCAAAACAGAGAGCATTGCAATTCAGACTCACAAGGGCCTGGTCACCCAAAGAACGAGAAAAAGGTATGACTAGAAAAAAGGACAATAATTAAACCCTGTTATTCTCAGAGATGAAGAATTATGTTTTGCAGTGATCACAGCCATGCTTCAAAGCTCAAGATAAAAGCAGCTGCATGATTCAAGCAATTGATATCTAAAGACATGAGTCAAAGGTAGAAGAAAAACTTCCAAAGTGGCAAGGATATGAGAAAGCATCTCTGAACTCCATTTCAACGCTCCCTTTCCATCTCTTCTTCCTCTGTGGTCTCTATATGTGTTAGGAAAGCAAAGCAATCTTGTTTTGACACAGATCTTTCTCTTTTCAGCAAAGATATAATAACTTGCTATTCCAGAACTATTACAACATTTCTATCTCATTCTTTCCTCTAAGAGCTTTTAATATGAGAGTTCTTGATAAAATAAATGCGCTAAATAAGCAACGATACACTTAATAGCTCCTAGAACTTTACGGCCTCAATTGATGGCAAAATCGCATATTTCAGCAAGGCTTGATTCCAACCTAATGTAATTCTGATTATTTGGCCTTTTGGATGACTCCATAAGAATGTTTTCTTTTTACCAAATTTATTTTTATATTATATACTCTGGAAGCATTGCTTACTAATATTTCCCCCAAAAATACATCTAAGGCTCTCTTTCCAGTTTTCGACTTTTTTAATTAAGCAAAAACAACAACAACAACAAATACAGAACATTTGCCTCTCTCTGCTCCTTCTGCTTAATATTTCTGAGGTAATGAAAACAATCCTGTGAAACATCTGGAACTTTTCCTCACTGGGGTTTGTGTTGGGGGAGGGACTGTCTGAGGCAGATTCTGTTTCCTTTTTCTGACAGACTACAGGGGCCGGATAACCAGACCCACTAGCGTACCGGCACCATTAGGTAACCCTCTGTATCCGATCACTGCGCAAGTGCAAAGAGCTGCTGGCTGCAGTCCCCAGGGGCTAACATTCTTAGCTGTCCCACTGAGGCTCACATCATTTCAGAATCTGTTATTCAGCAGCACAATGAACTTGCAGCTGCTCGGGAAGGCAGGCCCACCATCATCCTGATGCTCTTGACACCTTTGATGCAGCTCTTCATTCTTCCTTTGCATTAGCATATTGGGGGAAGGGGGAGTGGCGTAAGAATTGCGAGAGGAAGTGTAGTTCTGTCCACAAGGTCCCATGAGGACTCTGGTGGATGACCAGGGTTAGATTGAAACAACAGCACACCCCAGGCCCCCGTCCGCCCTGGCCATTTCTGCCCAAGGAGCCTTTGTCAAACATTTAAGATCTTAATCAATCTTCACTCTGACCTCTCTGACCCCAAGGAAGATGGATGAGGAAGTAGGTGACCTTTCACCTGTTCTTCTATTTGTCCTGTCACAGTGGACCCATTGAAAAGACAATCGGGGACAGACGTGCTGCCAGAATTCTAAGACTAGGCCAGTTCTCCTTTATATCCCTTCTTCAGCTCTCTTTACACCCTCTCTCATGTCCCACCCCCAAATCATTTCTCTCCCATTCAAAGGAAAGTCTTCTTTCTTCAGAGGGAAAAAAGGCGTGAGCAGACAGACAACATTGTTTGCTGGGGAAGGAAGAGGGAGGCTTCCTATCTTTAGTCTTCAGTCTGAAGTGTGGCTCAAAAGGGGGACATCTCTTTCACTGTCCGAATTTAAACTCTTAAAAGTCAACATGTGTGCCCTTGGGAAGAAGACAGCATAAAGGAAATTCACACAGAGTCGGTGTTTTATGAACTGTAAGATGACTTCCACCACATCCAGTAGTCCTTTAAGATTTTGCTACCTATGGATGCCATAGGTATCTTAGCTTCAGTACATTCACACGTGCCACACAACGACAAAATTGCCTAATGATGCATTCCTCAAAAATGTCCATGTGGCTAAGCTCATATAACAGATTTATCATCCCATTTTATAGATGGACAAACCAAGGCTCAGATGACTTACAGAATATTCTCAAGGGCATATTGCTAAAAGATCACATCTTTCTGCCATACCTGGATTCTTCTCTGATATCAATAATGATGCCATGGCTAAGGTCATCTATTTTTATTACTCCTAAGATTTTTAGCCTTGAGTAATCCTTAAAATATATCTCCTCCAAATTTGAGATTTAAAAATGTTTTGTCATTCAAGTTTTTCTTCCTTCCTAAGTTTCATCAGAGAGTTTTGACACCAAGGAAAACAGACATGTGAGGTACAAGGCTGTAGGGAAAAGGAAAAAAAAAAAAAAAGCTGCTTTTTTTTTCTTTTAAGAAGTAGTCATTCTAACAGCAGGAAAAACATCTTAAGCAATCTGTATGAAAACACCCCAAATTTTTCAAAAATAGCTCAATCAGCTTTCCCCTTCAATTACAAAACTGGCTTTGTCTTAAGAATGGTTTCCTCGGTACTGGACTGGACCTGTAACATTGAGCAGCCAGTGATTCACTGGGTTCTCCAGGTGATTTCTAGAAACCAAACCACTCAATGTTCAATCGCCTTTACATTCACTTCCCCTCCATCTTTTTCTCTTTCTCTGCTAATTTGCACTATAAAAACGTCAGGGGCTGCATGGGTAGCAATATGTAAGTTACTAGGCTCGGTGGCAATTGAAAATCAGTGACATCAGAAACACAGGGATGTTCTGGTGCTAAAGGAGTGAACATTTCATCAGGAAATGTGCACGTGCATATGAAACTGAAACATAAAGGTATGCAAGGCCCCATATTAGACCAATAAAAAAGGCAGAATAATTTAGTCTGAAGCCTGTCAATTTCACTGTTTTGCTGTGGCTGTTGTAGTTTAGGCACCAATGATAATACATTCACATGTTTTCTAGTATTAATTATAGAATATGTATCAGGCTTTTTAGATCATTTCAGCCTTACTGAGTAGTTGCAAAATCAAGGGCAAATAGAAAAGGAAGAAAGATTTATTTAATTTTTTTTTTACAATTTGCAATGCTTCCTCCACCTCCCTTTTTTTTTAGTTCTGATCAACAGAAAATCTGTGTTTAGCCTATTGCATTTCTAATGAAATTAAATGTCATTCACTGTTAGTTGTCCCTGGAAATAACTACAGCAAATTAGGAATGATACTTTATTGAAATACAAACTATGAAAGGAGAAATGCATAACTTTATGACACAAGTGACTAAAAATATAATTTCCTTTTTTTCTTTTTAATTTTCTTTATAAGCGTTGATTTCCAGTCAATCAAGTGGAATGCCCCACAGTTAATCCTGCCCTCTTATTAAGAGAGTTGAAATGCCAGACAAATTGTCTGGCAGTCAGTTATTGCAGAATCTTTAATCACCAAAATCAGATGAGCCATGTGGCAATGCCTTCCACAGCTCCGTAATCACCCTGCGATAAGATGAATCTGATCTGTCCCACAGAAGGGACAGGTTACACTGAAGTTAACCATGACAGGGTTGGCAACAGTCAAACCTGATAACGACCAAGCAAAACAAAACTAGGGATAACGTTTTTTTTTTAAAGTGTAATCCCATGAGTTAATCACAGAACATGACAGATCTTACACTCCCAGCTCATACTGACATGCAAAAAGACTCAGCAAATTCCCCATTATTCTAAGAGAAAGGGAAGCAAGGCAAGAATGAACTGCATACACTGACTCAACTGCAGGTGGAAAAGCAAGTCGCCTTAGTAGCACCATCAAGAGTAATTAACATGATAAAACTAGGTGGATTTCTATCAAACCCTCCTAACTCAATTTCTCAAAAACTCAATATACAAAATAGTCACAATTTATGATCACCTCTTGGGATTTAATCTACACATTAAATAAGAAGCCTCTTCATAGCTCTATTATCACCTCCTAAGAGAAATAAAAAAGTCTTCCATCAGGATTAATATCACTTAGAGACCCTATCAATGGGTGTTCAGTCAACGGAATACACTGGAAACATGTCATTCCGCCTTGCTGGGGGAAAATCCCCATTTGTCTACAAGGTCAGAAAACAAATGGACTTTCTTCCTGCAGCCTCATTTCCATCAGTGAGAGTGAAGTGGAACAACACAATCACATTCCCTGTCTGAATCGGTCATGTAGGCACAGGCAAGATGAGAGAAATTTACCATCTTTGTCAGAAAAACAGTCTTAAAAATAGGCCTGCCCTCTTTAAGGAAGGATCAATCAAGCCCATTCCTTCAGCCGGTTCATTTACATTTCAGAGGGCACATCCAGTGGGTTGGGATCTAAGTGCCTGTTAGCAAATGTGCTTGGCCTTCTGCTGATTACAGCAGCATCATTTATTTTGTCAGTATTAGAAGCGTCTTAGCCCTGCCACCTGGAGCTATCACACTTACTCATTAGACCCCTCTGTCCGACCACATCCCACAGGGGCTGCTAATTACTGGCTTTACTCCATTGAGTCTCATCTCTGATTTAATTACGTGCACGAAGCCCTAATGAAAAGTGCAATATGGCCGTTCTTACCTTGGCATTCTCCACTCTGCTCTTCGTGGCCAGCATTGCACAGGCAGTTGCCAATGGGGACCAGCCACTCACCATCTGCCCCACAGTACATTTTTGGCACATCCTTCTCTTCTGAGTTGTTGACGCAGGAACCTCGAACTTCCACCAGGGAAGAGGTGTCGGCTCCTGTGATGGTGTCCGGGAACTGGGCCAGATTGCGAACAGTGAGAGGACACTTCTTGTAGAACACGCGAACGGACACCAGGGCTATGCAGGCCCCTACATCCTGAAAAGCCAGATAAAAGCCCTTTTTGCTCAACGGCCCTACATCCCGGATCTCTGTGTTCAGTTTCATGATTCTGTCTCCGATGTCCACTTGAGTGAAGCTCTCGTCAGCAGCAATGGTGTCAATCTTGGCAAACTGGCTCTCTCTGATGAAGCGCTCTTTGTCGTTATCTGACTCATAGTAGTACAGGTTAAAGGTCTCCTTGCAAGTCCCCATGACACCTGGGAGACTGTTGCAGTCCCTCAGCGTGAACTTGATCTCAATGTAGACCCTCTGAGCCCCTTCTCTGGTGATCCAATCAGTTCGTAGCCAGTTGTTCTGGCTGGGTTCCATCACGTTGCACACTTGGTAGGTTCGGATTGGTGTATTTTTTTCATCCATAATACTCACTTCCTCCCACTGCAAAGATCCGAAGGAAATGTATCAATTACAAAGAATTATTATACAGTCATTTGTCAACCCTGTTTTATTCCCATTGGATAGTGATTATTTTTTCTTTCAAGAATGAAGAGGATTTCTGAGCACGAATCTCCATTAATAAAGCATGTTTGGGGGGGGGAGACAATGTCTTACAGGGGAAGTAAGTTTTTCTTAAGGTTCCATTCTTTTGTCCCACATCCAGATACAATGGTGAAAGTACTGCCCCTTGAGTTAACATCTCATTCTTTGTGGTGGTCGGTCTGACAACCTCAGCCTCACCTATAGTAACAGCTACCATTTGAAGTGGCAACAACTCAAATTTGCTCATAAGTGAAAAACCAGTATGTGTATTGTTGCAACCACTGAGCAGAGACCTGAAACTTCAGGGCAGGAAGAACAGAGCTTGCCAAAAGAAGACTACAATCAGTTAATTAGTGAGCGGGGCTCCTCTCAGGACTTTGCTAATATCTAAAAAATCTCAACTGATTTTTTTTTTTTCTTTCTGGCATCTTTACTACTCTTTAAAGGAGGAAAGAAAATCCTCCTATTTTTTTTTTTTTTGGATAATCTTAAAGGATACAAAGTGAACTTCAGGGTTGGATTTCTCAAATAAGCTGTCATTTATAACAGAAAATCAAGAGCATGTATTCAAACTTTGTATCTGCTCTTCTTTTTAAAAATGGACACCAAGAACAACGAGCATATGCTTTGTTTCTAGCTGTTTGTTGAATATTAAAAATAAAATAGTAAGTGCTATTTATGACTGAAAACTCAAGCAGAATGAAAGAGAAAGTGTTTTTCATTGCCATGTACTTTCTAATGCAGAGATCCTATTGGCTAGACAATCTGAATTAAGTAGAATTCATTGTGACTAAAACAGCAGGTTTGCTCCCCACATTGTTTTTCATTGTAATCCTGAAAGCAGCAAGATAGTTTGGTGGTTCCTACTGGGCCAAGAGGCAGACTCTATTTCTTCATTAACATATACAGTAATGCATTGGTATAGAACTGCTATAAATCAGCTAAAACGTCTAATACGTGCATACAATTAGAATAAAAAGGAGAGTTTAAAAAATTGTATTGAACAATAATTCTACTCGTAGCTCTATTAATCCAATGAAGTAAGTAGATCTATAATGTATCTTTAAGCAGATTTCTCATTTGTGCTTTGGAAAACTATTAATGGACAGAACATAACTCCGAAGGACCAAAATGCATAAAATTGTGTATCCTTGTCATGTGCTTCCATTATTAAAGTTGGAACTTGGAAAGGTAAGTGCCCTGTGGTGATAAAAATTTCTCTTTATCCAGTAAGCAATAAATCATCAGTAATGTACTTATTTGCAAAAAGTCATGTGGATGCAAAAAAAAAAAAAAAAACAGATAAAAAAAACTAGTCAACGTGCTTCAGCTTTCAGAACAAAGAGAATTTGGAAAAATGCATTTGTCGGTGTAAAAGAGAAGGCAGAGGCATCTCCACAGCATTTACACAGGAGGGTCCAGATCTTTATGGACTTAAAGCTTTCATTTTTTCACCGCATTGCTCAGTTCCCCAGAGTAATCTCAAATCCTCCCATAGAGTCATAATCGCCAGCAGTAACTCAATAGACTCCTTTAAATAAACATGGCCAAGAAGTTCATGTTTTTGCTACCACCTTGTTATAAGGAGCCAGCACTTGGCACTATGTTCACGCTGTACGGAGTTCTTCTTATGGATCATAACCAGTCTCTGACTCAAGCTCGTTTGGAGGTATTAGGAAATCAAACTTCATTTTCTTTTTATTTATGTATATTTCCCTTTTCATTTTATCTGAAAGTAAGTGACAGAGTTCTTCCTACCACTGGTTCACTCCTCAGATACCCACAGCTGTCACAACTGGACCAGGCCAGAACCGAGAACCAGAAACTGTAGCACGTGTGCCCTAGGAGGGCGGCAGGGACCCAGGCTGAGCCATCCTTGCTCATGGGCAGAGGGAGCCTGGGCCAGGTGTCCTAATAAGGAGTTAAAGCTACAGTCCCACACACCTGTCCCACATTTTCTCCTTAAAGGTAATAACTATAACAAGAAGGAAATATTGTTATCAGATAAAACTTCTAGCTTCCACTTCCAGCAAAGAAAAAATATTAACTATCTAACTACAAGTGGGCATCTGGAGCAATAAAAAGTTCAGCATGCTTTCATTCACTGCTAGAAAGAACTTTAAAAACAAACCCCATGAAGGTATAAACCCATCTCTTCACTCTGCAGCTGAATTTATTTTTGATGCCAAAATCTAGAGATTAAACTTTGTAATTTGTTTTACAATTTCTCAGTGGCAGTTTTACATTTTTGAAAGGTGAATTTTGTTTAGCAAAAAAACACGATTTCATTTCTAGCCTTACCTAAAGTGGCATGAGTGTAACATTTAGAGAAAAAAAACAAAGAGCCTGCTTTGAGCCCAGAAAGCATGCTGGGGTTCAGAAAACAAGGTATGCATAGTATTTTCAAAACAGACTTCAAACAATCAAAAGTTTCGTGTCTGGAGAGCGTGTCCAGGTGCTCTTGCGGCATTTGAGCGGCTGGGGGATGGGGAGCGTTTGATGTTTCAGCATATGAAATCGCAACTGAAGCTTTCCAGAAATTAGACCGCAAGACTGTACTTTCAAATCTCTCACTCTGTACTTTTTATAAAGGTCATTTGTACATTAGTGAAACAGGCAGGTTGAAATTCATACTAGATGTATTCTGTCCTCATGCTTCTGAGCACACAGTAAGAAAAACAAGGTGCATTATATTTATGAGCACGGGTACTGATCCATTCCATCCCTTAAGTTTTAATGCATGGAGCAACATGTCTGGTGTTGTCTGGGAAAGCACGGCTTAAGTCAGCGACCCTTCCAGGCTTTGGGATCAACAATGAGTCCAACTCTCCTGGAGATAAAGCTGTACCTTTCTTCACAAAGGGTGAGGGCAATTGCTTGCAATCAACGGTGAATACAAGCTGTCCACACTGCCAGAGACCTGCCAATCACTCACCCATCCCCTTCCAAAATGGTTGTGAGGGAGGACTAGAATTTTTCAGTAGAGACCACAACCAAGGACAGTCAAGTTCAGGCAGAAAAACTGGAAGGCAAGACTACCTCCATCTCGTTTCAGATGGATTAGAGATAAAAAGTCTACATTTTCTGCACTATTCTCTTGCCCGCTCTTACTTCTGAAGCACATCTTCTTAACTGGTTCTTATGAATCTTTATTGTTCCTAATCCTTTGTGATTTACTCAATGGACGGTTGTGAAGCACCATGCAGGGCTCTGGAATTTACAATTTTCTGTCCCATAAAGAATCCTCATCTTTCAACCCCCATTGTTTTTAATCAATTCACTCAGTCTCAAACTGTCAAGCATATGAATGTTGGCTGATTTGCTTAATTTTTAAAGGATGTGAAAGGTATTTCAATTTGGCAGAATTCAGAGTTACACGTTGTACTGATTTTTTTCCAAAGCTGATTCATTACAGCCTGCCACGGCCAGGTGGGGATATTGCAGCCATTGACCTATTAATATTCTCTGAATCTTTTCATGGAGACGGTTGAGGACAAATGTTATGAAATCACAAGCTAACAAGGATGTGTTTTCACAGTTAATAATCCAGCCTCCTCAATCACTAAATGTTCAAAATTTCACATATTTAAATTTTGCACATTTAACACCCGCAATACATAAAGGTGGGGTTCTCCTATACATGTAAGTGCAGGGCCATGAAATAAAGTTCCCATGATTTTCTCTCAGCCTGCAGAATAGACCAGAACAGTAGCTGATTTAAGGCTGCAGTAGAGAGCGAAGGTGCCTCCTGGCTGCATCCTCTGGTACAATTAGAAATGTATCCTGTCAGGTATCTTTATTTCTTCATTTTCCTCATCTGGAAGTGGAACAATTGCTCTGAAATTAACCCCATCAGGACTTCACGGTCTTCCCAGGAGTAGGCACAATTCAGCTTGGTCCCCAGATCGTATTTCCTGTTGGTATTCCAGTTTTAATAGCCATCTAAGTCTATGTCTCCACCAATCTCCTAATTTTGAAACCTCTTTCTGCCTTTTTGGTTTCCAGTTCTTCCATGACAGAGTGATCCAAAGGGAGTATAAGATTTCTCCAACAAAGCGTAATTCACTTCATAGGCCACGGCAGAAATATGACCCCCTCAGCACAATCAACAAGAATCAAGCCATTAGGACTCTCAGAAAGTTGCTAATCAGTCTTTTTTTTTTTTTTATCCTGAGGATCAGAAAGCAACTCACAACTTACCCCTCCTTCCAGAGGACTCGCTATCCACCCAAGCTCTCCCTGCACCGATCTGGAATCCAATAAGGTAACTGCAAAAACGCCAAAGAAAAATAGATTAATTTCCAATTGCAAAAAGCCAATAATACAAAAACCATTTGCCTGAATGCTTCCATATGTGCTGAGGGGCACATATCCAGCTCTGATCAAAACCTAAACTTAGTCTCACTTATGTAAATAATCATTACTCACTTGATCTTCTCCCCTCTTTAAATCTGCAGGTTCTTATTTATTTAACTTGCTTAGCATTTAAAATTCCAGCCCAGGACTGAGTTGATTCATTTTCTAAAAAGGATGAATAGACAACCTCAAGTACAGCTCAAAAAAAAAATAATAATAATAAATATAGCTATGTGGGGAAGTTACACTCCGGAGCGAAATTTACATTCATCTCTCTCTGGTATCTACTAGAATAATTTGTTTTTGCAAGTTTCAAATGACCATATAACTCCTCATCATGATGACAGCGCCACAAGGGAATTCTATCAGGGTGTACCCAAAGGGTCACCCGAAGACTCTCCCTTAACACTTTCCCACCTCTTTCTCCTGCAAATAAATAGGTCCCGGTTGTAGTGTAGGCTGCCCTTGTCTCTTTCAACATCAGAGTTTCAGAAAAGGGGAATGCCAGACAGGGTGACTTAGAATGTAAATGCTCTTAAGTGTCTCCCTTTGCCAGGTCTCTTTGAGGACAATCTCTCCTCCCCCTCCCCGGAAGAAATCTCTCCTTTGAATTTTAGGTACGGAGTGCTGCCTAACGACCTAGCATGCTTGTGCTACACAAGGAGGGGAAGGGGAGGGGCGCCTCCGGAGCTGCTGAGTCCGCTGGCGCTGGAACTGGGCTGGGTACCAAGGGCACTACAAAGGACGCGACGAGCTCCAGAGTCCTTTCCCCCATCGTGACCTGCAGGCCCGCGCTGCCCCAAGGCCTAGCTCACAGGAACCACCGGATTCCTGATTTCATCAGCGAGGCTGGCTCCTGAGGCTGAAGGAAGCGTGCGAATGGAACGCTTCGGCATGCCTAGGTACCCGCCAACTTCCCGTCTCATCTCCAGGCCCCTGAATTCTGCCCACCTCCCCTCTTTGGGCACTGAAGTTAAAATCCATCTTTCCACATCCCACCTCCACCCCACCCTGTCCCCTACTGAGAAGTCCGAATTCCTGGGGTTTGGTAATTGTTTTAAAATACGGAGCCTTCCCTGGGTCTCTCCCGCCGGGAGTTGCGCCCCCTACTCATTCTCTTTTCTCGGTCCCAGGAGAAAAACCGCGCTACATCCATTTGGATTTATGTAAGGTGGATTAGGGACACAAAGGGAACAATAAGACCCAATTTACCAAAAAAGGGGAGGGATAGAAAGGGAGGGGGAAAGGGAGAAAAGGAAACGTGATGGGAATAAAGAGCAACAAAATGAATTAATTTTTAAGGAGAGGAGGGGTCTCTGCCCTACCCCCACCCCCACCCGCCTCCCACCTCTTTCTTTCAACAGGAGCCTATGTGCGCGTTTAGGACTCCAAAGTTTCGATATCAAAAGAGAACATTTAAAAGATAAAAGGTAGAAAGGGAATAGTTTGATTGTCTGGGGAGAACAATCTTAAGGAATGTTCTAACAAGTGTACGAAGTCACCAGGAGAATTAGACTCCAGGATTGCACTTGGGGGTGGTGGTGGGGGGGAACCCTAGGGACCCAGAGGCCACGGCGGCGGCCGAGATGGCACCAGGGACCGCGTCAGAAAGAGGGGGCGGCGGGGGGCGCGACGGCGGGCGGGAGGGCGCGCCTCTGCTCCCAGGCGGCGTCGGCGGGCAGGTGTGAGCATCTCTGAGCCTCGGTCTGAAACAGAGCTCAAGATACCCGCAGACCAGCCGAGGCTAAGTTGGTTTTTGGCTCCCTCCTTCGGAACAGGGAAGATGATAGATTGCGCTGGGAAGGATGGACGGGTGCCCGGGCGGACGAAGAGATGGAGAGACGAATGGATGGGGCGCGTGGGCGGACGGATGGAGGACAGAGGGTTGAGTGGGAGAGAGTCCACCAGACAGACGCAGGGTATGGGAGCACGCGGGGACACGCGCACACAGGGGGACACTCAGGCACCGGTACACAGTCAGCCGCGTCCACGAAGCCCCCCCGCGCACCCACATGCACGCATCTGTGCGCGCACACAGCACACACACGCACACGCACGCCCACAGCTCGCCTCTTTCTGGGCTCGACGAAACTAAACGACGTCGGCCTCCCCACCCCACCCCCACCCCGGGACACAGACCCACCTCCACACAGCACCCCCAATTCCGTCCCAATACACGCGCGGAAAAATCGGACACAGCGACGCGTCCCGACGGTCGTTCGCGCGTGTTTCCTCTCAACTAGCCTTGTCTACGATTCTGGGGCAAAAAGCGAAAACTCGACTACCGCCCAACTTGCTGCGGTTTTCTCAAACAGGCGGGGGTTGGGTGACAGAAGGCTCTCGGGGGGCTTCCCAAGCCAGCGATGGCACCCCCAGAGCGCGGGGCGGGCAAGGAGAAGGGTGTCTGAGGCCGGGTGCCAGAAATCAGGTCACCCGCACTCGGCCACCACCGCTGCCTTGCGCAGGGCCCCGCAGCCGGGTCCCGGGAAGCGCTGGGCTCGCAAACTTTGCAGAAAGCAAACCTTGCTTGCAAGCGTTCGCAAGAACTCCGGAGCACCAAGCCCGCACTGCGCGCCTGGACTGCGCTCGCCCTCGCACAGTGCTGGTGCTTGGGAGGACTTGGTCCACAACGCACCCCCACCCCTCGCCCCCCAAAGTGCTGGCGTTGGCTCTCGTGCATCCTTCGGGGCGCTCGGAGCCGGCCTTACCAACGGATGCTGATTAACTTTGCCCTACGCCGTAAACTTGCAGAGCCGGGCCGCTGGCACGGGTCACTGCCTCGGGGCCAGCTGACCAGCCCGTCCCCCTTCCCTTTTGTGGATCCCCTGGCTACGCTCCCTTTTGCAGTCGGGACGCACCGTTTACCCCGGACTTGCCCACACGCACAGAGCAGCCAGCCCCGCGCTCCGTGGACCGCGCACCTGAGCGGATTGTCCCCTCTCTGTCCTCTCTCCTTCACCTCCGCCACTCTCCTCCCCAGCCACGGCCAGGATGCCCGGCTCCTACCTTCATTCGCGGGGTACACCCTAGAACCGGTGACAGCGTCGCAAACCCCAAAAAGAAACGAAAAGAGGACGAAATAGAAAATCCCTGCCATGGTTCGCCGGTGCCAACGCTGCTCCTGCCGCTCCTATCCCAGTGGAATAAATGCTTAAGTTGGGAGAGCAGCGGGCTGAAGACATTGCCAAGGGGGTGGGCCCCACCCGTGACGCTCGCCCGCCAGTCTAGGGCCGGCGACCAATGGCGGCGCAGACGGGGCGCCCGGGGCCCCGCCCCCGGCCGCGAGCCCCGCCCCGGCCCCGCCCCCTGGGCTCGGCGGGGCGCGCAGTCTCGGGGGGCTCGAGGGGGCGAGCCGGGCCCGGTCCCCGCCGTCCGAGGGCGGACCTGGCGGGGGGCCCCCCCGACGTCACCTCGGGAACCTGGCCCCGGGACGGAGCGGAGAACCCCGAGAGGCTCTGGATGGACTCGGGGAGTGGGGGGACCCCGGGCAAACGGGCGCCGTCTCGTCTCCTCAGGGGGCGGCAGGGCTGAGGCGGTTCAAGCGGCCGCCTGCGGTCGTCCCTTGCCCACCCGGCCGTCTTCTCGAAGCCCGGGCCCGCGTGCGGCTGGCGGGGGCGCCTCAGCGCCGACGCCCCCCGGGACCCCAGCTGCCCGGCCGCTCCCAGCCGTCCAGCCCGCAGCAGGCCTCCGGACCCCGAGCCCGCGACTGTCCCACCCCCGGTGCCCTGTCCGGCCGCCGCGAGGCTCTCGGGGACCCCACCGGCCCTTGGGTGTCCGCGGGGTCCGGGGCGACCCCGAGCCCTGAGGAGAGGACGAGCTCCGCCCGCTGACAGGGGGCGACCGGCTGACTGGGAAGCCGCGCGCCTCCGGGGTCCCCCCCCCCGACCGTGTGGTCGGCGCCCCTCTCGGGCGCGCGGCCGGGGCACTGACCCCCGACGTGCTGAGGGGAGCCCCTGCGACGTGCCCTCCGTCCCGCGTGTGCCTCCCCGGCGGGCTCCCTCCGGGGAAGGGCCCGGCTTCCCTCGCCCGGCACGGGGTCCCCGGCGGGCGGCAGGGCGACCTCTCCGGGGGTGGCCGCGTCGCTCCTCGGCCCCCTCAGCGGCTCTGCGTGAGCCGAGCGCGCCACCTGCCGGCCGCACGCGGCAGTGCGCCGCCCCGGAGGAAGGGCGAGCGGACAAAGACCCCGGCCACCGACGCCCCCTGTCCGCGGGCCGCTGTCCCCGGGTGGGCGGCGGGAGGCGGCACCTGTCCGCGGGCCGCTGTCCCCGGGTGGGCGGCGGGAGGGCCCCGGGAATGGCGTGGAGCCTCCCGCCAGCTAGACTGCGGAAGATGCAATCGGAAAGCGCTTGGAGGAAAACCTCCAGGAGTCGAGCAGAGAAGGGGGGGGGCGGCAGGCGGAGCTTGGGTTTCTCGAAAATGGAATCCTAGATGGGCGCGGGAGGGGTGGCGGGCGGCGTGGACAGAACGCACCGCGAGTCGCCGGCCGCGCGCGGGGTCCGATCCCAGCCTCCGCAGCGGATGGTGGGCTGCGCCGGCTTCTAACTCAGAGCCCAGCTGGGAACGTGGGCAACTTCTGCTTGACCAGAGGCGAGCGCGCGTAGGACGGACTTGGGTGTGCAGCCTCCTGCCGCCGTCCGGCCAAGTGGACCGGAGCTGCTGCGGCCGACGATTTGCCCGAGAAAAGGAAAAGACGACAACCGTGCACGCAGGGATACACGCAGGTGTGTGGGGACTGTGTCTACATTATTCAAAATAACCCACCCCCCCCTCAAGGAACACATGTCTAGATCCTTGCATGTGTCTTTCTGGGTCTTATAGGAAAAGGCAATGGATGTCGGTCCCTGTCCTTGGCAAATCCATGAGAAAAGAGCAATTCACATTAAAAAAAAATACACACACATATATATGTATGTATATATATAATAAGACAATAGGTGCCGGTTGCATCCATTGAGGGCTCTGTGTATCCGGAGCTGAAATGCAAACACACTGCTTGTACAGTTAAAAATGGTAGAATTTCAAAAACCTATCACTCCCCTTCCCCCCAAGCACAGTGAATGTTGGGCCAAGTCTTTCCCGGCACAGCTGCCTGGAAAGCAAGGCGTTGTTTGCCAGGAGGCATGCATAGAATTCCCCTTTTTCCTTCCTAGTTTTCACCCCACGCCTCAGAACAGCCCAATAAAGAGGAGCATAACCGTGCAGGAAGCGCAAACTGAAGCAAACTGCACTGTGGCTTCCTCTGTAAAAACACTTCTGGGCTGCAGAGCAGGAATGAACTCCTGACAGCTCTGTGCTTCGCGATGCAAAGGAAGCGCGTTGTAAGAGACACGGTTCATTCTCAAAGTCTGGCACTAGGGTGCCTGGGTGACAGCGCTGGCTCCGCTTCTGCCTCCAGCTCCTGCCATTGTGCCTTGGGGGAAGCAGCAAGTGACGGAGCTGCTCCTGTCTTTGACTTCGGCTTACAACACCTCAGTTGAGTTTAGGGCTCCTGGCTTTGTTCTGGCCAGCCCTAGATTTTGCCAGCATCTGGAGCATGAGCTGGGAGGGAAAAATGCTCTGTCTGTCTCTCTTTCCTTCAAGTGCACTAATACATTTTAACAATAGATAGGGAAAAATTGGGGAAGTGAGAGTGGCTCTTGTTTACCATAAATGCAGAATACTGCCTGCCCCTCGCACCACAGATTCACGGTTTTGGGAACTCGTCCTGGAGTTTGCAGCTATGTCAGTGTTTATAAACTAGTGGAGTCAAAGGCATATCCTGGAAGGTGGTACATTGCAAAAGCACCTAAAATCACTCACTTTAAAAATAAAAGTAACTTGACCATGTTGAGTTACACAAGTGCCCCGTTACTGAAAGATTTCAGAGGTACTTTGAATCTACTAGGAGACATGTCAAAATATGTTCACTTATCAGCCTAATGAAAGTAATAATTAAGTGACTTGAAAACTTTGATAGACTCTTCCCTTTTGTACTGTGACAAAGATTCGTGCTACAAAGCCTAAGTACACTCCGTACGCTCGCTTGAGTTAAGGTTGGATTTCAAAGGTATTTCTCATCTGTGAAAGACGTTTTTAAATAGCATCAAATATCCCAGGGTTTCTGCTTCTAAGTGGAGGACCAGTGTCCCCTAAGTAATGAGGAACGGGCCTTTGGCCTGTGGACCAGGAAGCATGGATAAAGAGAATGTGTGGAGGACGGGAAAGAGAAGTCGGAGGATGAATCTGTTCTGCTTCTAATGGGATGGCGGTATGCTAGCTAGTTTAGCCAGGCGTCCACGGATGTCAGCCTCACATCGATAGATGGAGCATGCCTACTGGGCTTTGATGAATCCCTGTCATTTCAACGAGCAAAGTTTTAAATTCAGACCTCCCTACTAGAAAATAGCCAGCTGCCTTTGAACAAACTCTGTTCTTGAACAACTTATTTAACATCTCTCAGCTGTGATTTTGTCCTCTGGATGTCATAGGTAGTCGTATTATAGGATTCCTTTAAACATTGAGTGTTGTAATGTGTATGGTACCTGGCATTTATGTATATATATATATATATATACATACATATATATATGACAGCCGTTATTAACATTTCGCTAATAACTTCTAATAGTGTACCGGGGAAATTATCTGTTCAGCTTGTCTCTTCTTTTCTACAAAGAAAACCAAGTGCTATAATTTATGTTTTGTCCTCCAGGAGAGCACAGAGTTGGGAGAAGACATAAATTCCACATTCTTCTATTCTTCCATTGTTGATTTATAACGATTTATGTCCAAACCATATTCCCAGATGATGTAACTGGACTTGAATCTAGAAACTGCAATCATCATAGCACATGAAACTCCAGTGTAACAACTAGGAAAATAATTGAAAGAGAAAATGAGGGGAAAAAAGTGTCCCACAAGCGGATGATGGTGGTACTAATAGTCAAAGTTCCACTGCATGAGATCTGCAGCGTTGTCACACGCCACCATCTCACATACAATAATCTGAAGTAACATTTGGTGGGCTTCCTGAAGCCCCAGGAAACCCAATTAGAGATTTTATCCTTTGATGTGAGCACTTTGATGCTGTTTCCTATGCAAATAGGAAGCAAGTCTTCCATTAGCCATTTACACCTGAGTGGGAATACTGGCCACATGGCTTGAGACTTGCTGAATTGGGAGGCGAGAAAGCATGAAACAGCAAGAGGCCTTTGGGTCACTGACATGGACAAGGCCAGCCGTTCGGAGTTCTCAGGTGGGCAAGGCTTTCCAGAAATCTACCCTGTCCCTGAGTTTCATGTAATTCTAACACATGTCTCTCAAGGGTCTATTAAGCACCTGACATTATGTGATCAAAATGGCAAAGCCTTCTTCTCACGCATGACATATGTAGCACGCGGGTGTGGAGGCCAAGAAGAAAGCCTCAGAAGCCTGTGTTCTGAGGTCTGAGTGCCAAGTGAAGACAGCGGAGGAGAAGAGCTCTCTCCCGCACAAACTCCAGCTCCCTCCGACTCGTGGGGCACGGGGGAGTCTTACTGCACAATACAACTATTCTGGGCATCATAAGACACAAAACAGCAAAATTATTTTTCTTTTCAGGCACAAAACCTATGCTCTGAAAGATGCATAAAAGCCTTTTACTTAGAACCATCAATGGCACCTGTAAACTGGGTTTTTCTCATCCAAACTCAAAATACTAGCAAAGAACTGCAAACCACAGCTATTAACTATTTTTATGTATTAATGCTTGAATGGTTAGCAACTACATACCTTTACGGTTTTTAAAAGGTCTTTTGCAATTATAACCATTTCATGATGAAAAGCAAATGATAATGTATGTGTGAAGAACATAAAGCTGGCACAATATTTTTTTTAGCCACTTTTAAAAGAGAAATAATTATGTGGTCTGAGATCCAATTTATGGAGGTACTATAACAGCCATCTCCCCACACACCTTTTATTCTGAAACACAGCACAGAGTTGCAATGAAATTTTGTTAGTAAAATCTAATAAGACTATGCACATCATTTATGTTTTACTACATAATGAGAGTACAAGCTTGGAAGCCTGTATTTCCCTTACTCATCCTAGTCTAAATCATTCGGAATAAAACACTTATATCTCAAACAGATATTTTGTAATTTTGAAATGATTCCCAAATATTCTAAAGAAAT